ACCGCGAGCTCCGTAGACAACATCTTGTACAATGGCATACAAGCGTAAAAATCACCCACCTTTATAACAATATCACGTCTTCCCCACTCGTGTATATAAACATCTGTATCACGTACGTAACGTGTTATAAACATTGCTAACAAATCATCATCACCATCATTAACATCATATTTATTATTATAATTATTTGCTTAATTCGTACAGAACAGTTGTATGTTTCTATTGCAAACACTTATGCGGATTTAGGGGATAGGGGTTTACGGGATAGGGGTTTACAAGATCGGAGATAGGGTTTATGGGATAGAGGGAAAGGTTTAGGAGTAAGCTTAGGGTATTTGGTAGGATTTAGGGGTCGGACTTGGATGCAGGGTTCGGGCTGAGGACCGAATAGTATCGGGTTGAGTGTTGGGTTCGTGGGTTTGGGCCCTGGTTTGGGCTTGGGGCTAGGGTCATTGTTGGGGTTGAGGGTTGGGGTCGGATTAGATGCAGATGATGGTGATTAGGAGGATGGGTTGGAGGAGGAACAGAGAGGATAATGAGGTCGGAATGAGGAGGAGGGGGTGAGGAGGAGGGGGTGAAGAGGTGAGGGTGAGGAGGTGGGGGGTTGAGGAGGGGTGAGGAAGAGTTATTCAACCGCGCAAAACATTCTCGGCAAGCGCGACGCTCGAACACGTGACAGCGTCGACATTAAAAAATATATACAAAACCACGTGAGGTCGTGACGTCACAAAGGTATGGTCACAAATTCCAAATGGCTTAGAGACAACGATCCCCGTGCAAGGGGGCAAGTGCTATTATTAGCGAACACCTATTAAGGCCGGTGCGGCGCAACAGTTTGCAAGCCCGGCCGCCTTTGTCTCCCCCCACCCCCAGTGTCGACGCCGACTTTGTGCGGTCAGCACAACAGGTCATTGTTTTAGGGCTGAGTCGACCTAGGGGAGACCAAAGCGAGGTCTTGATGCCAAATACACACGCACATACATACACCCCCTTACACAAGCACCAACACGCAACGATACATAGCATCCATTCTAACACACAGCCACACAACAGCAGATATTCGCCACTACCAGTGACGTTACCACAGCACTTGTGCCATGCTCGGTGCACTTTGAGACCACAGGTAGTGTGGAAGGCTCGTGAGCAGGAAGTCACGGGACAGACTCAGGTGTTATATTTATAAACACGCTTACATACAAAGCTCCCCCCCCACCTCCCCATATATCCTCTATAAGCTATTGGGACGAGTGCTGTTTGCGAGCACCTATGAAGGTCCGTCACGGCACATGAGGGGGGTGGGGTGGCCAGTATCACGACCGGTGGCCTTTGTCTCCCCAGTGCTGATGATTTACACGAACCACCAGGTACTCATTAGAGGCTGAGTCGACCTAGGGGAGGAGGTCCATGACCTTTTCAGATAATCGTCACCTGTGTTGGTAGCCGTGAGAGGGAATCGAACTTGGTTCCCACGAGACCACACAGACACATACACACACAAAAGACAAATATCCCCCGTATAGCCTTAACAGACTGTTGGGGCAAGTGCTGTTCACCCTATGGCCACAATTCGCAAGCTGTGTTAAGTTTGGCGCTGTCACTTCCCCGCCAAGTTTCCGATTCACCCCCCCCCCCCCGCCCCCCCACAGAAAAAAAATCACTTAAAATCAAAACATTCAGATTTGGCTCACTGAGTAGTACCCCAGCTGACGTCATCACCACCAACGGGGGCCCTATGGAGTGGTTATGACTAAAAACCGAACGGTTCGACACCCAGCGACATTCCTGGTTAATACTACGGATGTGTTAACCGTCATTATTATTATTATTAATACTACGACTACTACTATTACTACAGCACAGCCGTCCACTTCACATTGGGCAACGTTCAAGATTCCGCGGCGTCGTTTGTAAAGAGAGGCGCTGGCCATTGTGTGTCCGAGTCGCGACCCAACTCTGCCCGATTCACACCCCGCGCAAGCGTGAAGCCGAATGGGTGGCATCGTCCCTCCCACTACACCCAGCGCAGAGCTACCCCCAGAGAGCTGTGCCCGTGGGTAAACCATAGCACCACGCATGGCGGTGGTGGTGATGTTGGCGATGGTGCCATTGGTGGGCTGGTGGTGTTGATGTTGGTGATGATGTTGATGGTGGTGATGTTCGCGATGGTGATGTTAGCGATGGTGACATTAGTGGTGGTGGTGGTAGTGATACTGATCCGGCAAAACAACCCCCTACCTCATCGTGGTGCCGGATGGCAACGCTGTGGTGGGCAGTGCCGTGGGGAGAGGGCCAATTTAGATTGGCCTTTCCCTTCATGGCGTCTGTAACCACCATAGCGGCCAAATGGGGGCATCTGGAAGGGTGCGAGGGGCTGAAAACCCCTCCACCTTCAATTAACTACCACCAAACTACGATTAAAAAATATAATAAAGATTGTGCCGGAGGCCCTGGGGGGACAAGAGTCTCCGCCAAATGGCCAAACCCCATTTGGCGGAGACTGAATTCTTACCCTCGGGGCTCCTCCAGAAACAACAAAAAGCCACTACGGATGACCAAGTGGAATGTTCAAACGTTCACTGCGGAGGTGAGGCTGCATCTCCTCTGTCGGGAGCTGGACCGGTACTGCCTGGATTCCTGTGGTATTCAGGAGGTCCAGTGGACCGGCTCTGGCTCTTACCACCATGAGGGGTGGACAGTCCTCTACTCAGCGCAGGAGACTGCCAAACAACAGGGAGTGGCTCTTCTTATGAACAAAAGAATGAGGTGTGGGAAGCTGTAAGCCCCAGGCTACTTTGGGCTCGCCTTCCCATCAACCAGAGGCGAGGAGTGGTGGTCGTGGTTACTTATGCCCCACCGAAGACGAACATCCGTGGAGGGATGCAGGCAAGGGCAATGAGTAAGATGCCTTCTATGACCTCCTGTCACAGGTGCTGGTTAAGTGGCTTCTCGGGATAGTCATCTTGTTGGGTAACTTCAATGTCCAAGTTGGTCATGGTGCTAACACCTGGTTTGGAGTGATTGGAAGGCATGGACCAGATCAGCTCAATAACAACGGTAGGAGGCTGCTATATTTTTGTGTTGCCCATGGGCTTGTAATTACCAACACGCTGTTCTGGCATCAGCGCATCCACACAACATCATGGATGCATGCCGGGTCCAAGCAAGAACATCTGCTGGACTAAATAGTGACGGACCATCGGATGCGAGCCCATGTCCTTGACACCAGGACCTACCGTGGAGCTGATCTGTCCACTGACCATCGGCCTGTCATCTGTAAGATGCGCCTGCCATTCTTCCACTCCGGTGGTGGGTGTACACCCAGGACCCCATTCAAACCCAGTGGCATGGTCTCAGCTAGGTGATGAAAGTTGTAAGTGAGAATTTCATCATCGCTTGTGGCTGGGGTTGGCATCGTCCCCCACTCTTCCAGATGTCGAGCGGAAATGGGCGAGGTTGAGGACTGTGGCTCATGCAGCTTCAATGGCTGCTTTGGGTACATGGTTCAGACCTCCCCAGAGACCCTCGCTGACAGAGGAGGTGTTCAGACTGGCTGAGAAAATGTGACAGGCCCACTCTCATCGTCGACAACATCCCACGTCAGAGAATGAGGAGGCCTACCACAGCCTTCGCTCGGAGGTTCGGAAAGCCGTGAGGCACAGCAAGAATGGTTGGTGGTCAATGGTTGCTGAGGAGATGGAGTCTGCTCAATGGCCCGCGATCATAATCGCTCTTTAATCCCATCAAAAAAGTAACCTGCAGCGCCACACTTATTACCATCATTAGGGGAAAGAACGGTGATCCAATCTCCGACCCCCAGGAACAGGTTTGCAGATTTGCTGAGCATTTCTGTGAGGTCCTGGGGGAGGGGAAATCCTTCACCCTGAAAAACGTTGTGGGACAAAGTGGGGATGACCCTGCTCAGGCTGCCGTGCCTCAAATATTGGAAGAAGTCACCCCCTGTGAGTAGCTGGCTGAGGTGCCATCTGTTGAGGAAGTACTGAAGGCCTGAGACCAGGAAAGGCACCGGGCAGAGATTACCTCCCAAGCGAAATGCTGAGGGAGGGTAGCATTTGTGCACAGACTGCCCTATATGACATCATAACAACTGGACCACTGGACGGGTTCTGCAGGATTGGAAGGATGGCCTGGTGGTGGTGTGGTCCCTCTTTAAGAGGGGGGACCACACAGATTGTAATAACTACAGGGGCATCTCACTCCTCATTGTGCCGGGAAAGGTCCTAGCAAGGATTATTCAACATCGCCTTGCCAGGCACGCTGAGGAGAGGCTTGCGAAGCCCCAATGCGGTTTCAGGAAAGGGCGGTCCTGCACAGATGCCATATTTTCTGTCCATCTGCTACAGCAGAGGTGTAGGGAATTCCAACAACACCTACATTTCTCCTTTATTGACCTGGTCAAAACCTATGATTCCATCAGTAGGCCTGAGCTCTGGGTTGTTCTTCGTGCTTTCGGAGTCCCTGACCCTCTGCTCACGATCATTAAGAACCTTCTAGATGGTGAGCGGGCCCGGGTAAAACTACGTGGCCGGAAGTCAGAGCATTCCCTGTTCACTTTTGGGTGCGACAGGGATGTCCTCTGGCTCCCACATTATTTTACATATATTTTGACCACGTTGTTCATGAAGCCTTCAATAGCTGTACCGGAGGAATTTCCATCTGGTACAGATCCAATGGGAAGCTGATTGATGCCCGTGTGTGGTGAAGGGATGGCTCCCTATTGCTCAACCATGTTATGTATGCCGATGATCTGGTAATTACTGCTCACTCAGAGGAGGAGTTGGAGGTGCTACTACTGAACCTGGAGCTTGCCACTAAGAGGTGGGGACTTACCATAATCCCCACCAAAAGTAAGCACCTGCCTGGGTATTTTGTACCATCGGAAACTCCACCCCCACAACTTTCAATTGGTGATATGGTAGTTGTGGAGAGAGTGGAGAGGTTCCTATACCTGGGCAGTATGCTCATGACCGGCTCCAGTTTGACAGCAGAGGTCTCACTCCGAATCAGTCGAGCGGCATTATCTTTTCATCGGTTGCGTAATGCTGTGTGGAAGCTACCTGGTCTGTCGCTCCGCAGTCATTCCCTCCCTTCTCTACTGAAACATGGACCCCACTAATGGAACATATTCACCGGTTAGAAGAGATGAGGGGGGAGGGGTGGGGGGCACACTCCCACAACGCCCCCCCCCTTTCCAACCCAAACATCTCCCCAACATTTCACGCATTCCCTCCCTCCCCCCCGCTAACCACCACCGGGAGGGACAGGGAAGTCGGTGGTCGTGGTGGATGGTGGTGCCGGAAAGAAGAGACCCCGGGTGATTGGAATAGATAGATTTGGGGGTTTGGGCAGGTGGGCGGGGTGGAGGTACTTTCCTCGAATACTGGAAGCATTTATTCTGGGAGGGGGGGGGGAGTACCCCTTTCACATACCCTCCCTCTCCCCTAACCATCTGGAACATCCTCCAACACTTCACGCATCCCTTGCTCCCTCCTCCGCCATCACCATCACTCCATCTTCACCACGACCATCACCGCCACCACCATCTCTGCCGCCACCCATCCCCTGCGCTGCCATCACCACCGCCGCTGTGGCTGCCGTCGCCGCCGCTGCCGCGTGCTCCCCTCCATGCCATTTCTTCATGTGCTTCTCGAGTGTGCTGAACACGCTGAAGGGCATCTGGCAGACGTCGCAGCGGTACGACTCGCGCCCCATCTGGCCATGCGTCTTCATGTGGCGCGTCAGCTTGCTGCTCTGCGCGCATGCGTAGCTGCACAGCTCGCACTTGTAGGGCCGCTCGCCCGTGTGCGAGCGCCGGTGCACCGTCAGGTTGCTGCAGTTTTTGAACACCTTGCCGCAGTACTCGCACGTGTCGCTGCGCTTCGACTCGCGGCTGCCCGGCGGTCGCCCCCTGCCGTTGCTGCTCCTCCGCACTCCGTCACCACCGGTAGATCCTCCAGCCCCACCCATGCCACCAGCTCCGCCAGCACCAGCACCGCTACCGCCACCACCACCGCTACCGCCACCTTCGGCACCTTCGTGTTGCCCCATAGCAATGGCTAGCATCTTTTGCTGTTGTTGCTGGTGGTGGTTCTGCTGCTGGTGATGTTGTTGTTGATGGTGGTGGCGGGGATGGTGCTGGTGGTGAGATCGTCCCACGAAACCTCCTCGTCCACGACCCCTGCGCCCGTCCAGGATGTCGACGAGGGGCGCCGGGTAGAGGAGGGCCCCCACGGCCCCGTTCTCAGGCACACGGTGCGGGGACGCATGCAGGAGGCCCGGGAAGGCCGCGTCTTTGCCCAGGTGCCTCGTCTGAGCGTAGCCGGCCAGCCACTGAGAGTAGAAATTGTCGTGGCTCATGAGTGGGTGCAGGGCGGGGGAGGGCGGGTGGTGAGGATGAAGATGGTGGTTGTGATGACTGCGGTGGTGGTAGTGATGTTGTTGTTGTTGATGGTGGTGAGCTGCAGGTGGTGGTGGTGGTGATGAGGAGATGTCATCGGGTGCTTCCCATTTGATCTTCTTGCAAGTGATGGTGCCGACATCGTCATCATCTCCATGAGCGGTAGTGTTGTTGCTGATGATGCTATGACTGGCGATGCCACCACCGCTGCTGCTGATGATGTCGATGCTGCTGCTGCTTCGGCTGTAGCTGTTGTTGCTGCTGCCATTGTTGTTACTCACGATGACTGCCCTGTTGTAGCTGTTGTTATTGCTGCTGTAGCTGCTGCTGCCCTGGTGGTAGTGATGGTTGTTGCTGCTGCTGCCGCCGTTACGTTTGGAGAGCGACATGGGCCCAGAGACCAGATCGAGCGGAGACACAGAGAGCATACGGTCGTTCAGCAACGTCCTATCCTCACCACCACCATCACCACGAGGGCGAGCCCAGCCTCCCCTCCGAGCACTGCCACCGCATGGCTCCAGCACGGCGTGGGGGAATCTGCCGGGCACGTGGCGCTCCTTCTCGGCGAGGGCCTGCCTCAAGGCGTCGCTGTACTGCTGGATGGAGCTCAGCCCGATGGTGTCCATCACCTCGCTCAACACCGACATGGGCTTCATGCCCAAGACGACGCCGCTGCTGCTGATGACGCCGCTGCTGCCGCTGATGCCGCTGCCCATGCCGGCTTCGTTGCGGGGCACGCCGTTGGCCCTGGCTTCCTCTGGGCTTTCCTGGAGATCGGGCGCCTTGCGGAGGCCATAGTCGCATTCTTCTTCATCATCGTCGTCTTCATCTTCCTCTTCCTCCACCTCGTCAACGTCGTCGTCATCGCCGCCACCACCGACCGCTCCATCTCCCTCGTCCTCAACTCCTCCAGTCTCCGCTGTGGGGTCCGAATAATCGTCGTTATCATCACCACCACTGCCTCTGTCATCGTGGTGGTGGTGGTGGTGACCCCACGAGGGCCTCACTTTCCCATTCTTGGTGCTCATTGTGGCTGCTCCGCTGTCGGGCGAGACCGAGTTGGAAGCGTCTTCCTTCCTCCTCCTCCCTCCCTCCACTTCATCATCATCATCGTCATCGACGTCGTCATCATAATCAGCATCATCATCGTCATAATCATCATCGCGGTCGTCCGCTTCACGTTTGATGCGTGCCTCCCCTTCGCCCTTGCGGCGACATCGCCGGCACACACCGCGCGTGCTGTGACCATGGGCCCAGCGACCACTGCCACCAAAGCCACCTCCACCGTTGCCACGGCGGCCGCATGGAGGAGGAGGAGGAAAAGAGTGATGAGGAGGCGAGTTGGAGGAGGTGAAGAAGGAGGATGCCTTGAAGGTTTTGTGGCAAACCTGGCAGGCGCGGGACACGAGGCGATGCAGCTGCTGTGGCTGTGGCCGTGGTGGTGGCGTTGCGGACAAACACCTCTGTCTGGACAGACTCGAGCTCCCCACCACCAAGGATGACGAAGAGGAGGTCGACGACTGTGGGGTGAGTGAGGTGGTGACGACGGAGGAGTTGAGTCGCGGAGGAACGGCTGGTGGGGTCATCGAGGTCGCCACCGCCGTCGTCCCATGCCACTCGCCCTCCGACGTTATCTTCGGCGTCATCGCCGCCACTGCCATCGCCGCCACTGCCATCGCCGTTGAGGTCACGGTGGTGATGGTGGTAGCGGTCATGGCGGTCGTGGCGGTCGTGGCGGTGGACATCGTGGAGCGGGCGAAAGGAGGGGTCGGAGCGCCGCGGCCCGGGGATTTGGCGGCGGTGGCGGGAGGTGCCAGAGAGGGTGGCGCGCCCATCGCAGCTGGTTGGTCTGCTAGACTGTGGAGGCGCTGCGAGAAGTCCAGCGCCAGGTCGCAGGTGCTGCCCGCGGGTCTCACCACCCTCTGGAACGCACTGCTCGTCGCCATCGCCTGCTGCTGCTGTTGCTGCTGCTGTTGATGATGATGAAGCTGCTGAGCGACCGTCAGCTCGTCGGGCCCGCTCGCGAGGTCGCCAAACCGTGCGCCCACATAGGGGGGCCCGGCCACCGCGTACGGAGAGCCCTGCGTGCGAACCGACGTGGCGGCGTACAGCGCCGAGAGCCCCTTAAAGTCTGCGGCGGGGGGCCCCCCGAATCGGGGCAGCCTGGGGTAGCCCGGGGCACCTGTCAGGGGCCCCAGCACGGAGCCGAGGTCCGCGTGGAGGGTCGGGGTCGGCGGGCCGCGGTACGATCGGCGATCGGAGCCCGGCTCCGAGCGTCGGCGGGGCGGCTGCGGCAGAGGAGGAGGTGGTGCCGGTCTGCCAAGGGAGGATCCCGGAGAACTGGGGACGTTGTTGTGGCCAGGGCCCATGAGGGCCGTGGCTGCCGGTAACTCGGTGCAGTAGATGCGCAGGCCATGCGAGCCCTGCACGTGCTGCAGCAGTGCCCAGGCGCTCGGGCAGAGCAGGCAGCACGAGGAGCAGGCAAGGGCACGAGGCTCTCCAACCTCGCCTGGGGAGGGGAGAGGTTGGAGGTGGTGGAGATGGTGGTGATGGCAGTGGTGGTGGTGATAGTGGAGGTGATAGTGGTGTTGATGGTGTTCAGGTGATGATGGTAGTGGTTGTCGTGGTTGTGATGATGATGGTGGTGGACAAGGTAGTGGTGATGGTGATGATGTAATGATAGGGATGATAATAAATATAATCATCATGATCAATCCACTGTACATCATCATCATCAAATGCAGACACTATGACGATTAAAAACGAAGCAAATAAATTCACGATCATCAATAAATAACTTTATCATCAATAAACCTATTCACGTCAGTTACCTGAATTTCAGACACACACACTATATATAACCTACACGGGGGGATCTTTGTATTTTGTAAATTAAGATCTAACACAACTTTTAGTTTTAGTATTGTTGGTGATGATAAAACAAACTGTTTTATAATTTTGTTAGGGGAAGCCATGTTTGGTTATCTGCCACGATCTTGGATTGTGTCCAAATGTCCGCTCGGTTTTATTGGTGTCCATTGACGGTGATGTCAGACATTGAGTTTGCTAAAACTCTTGTATACATGATGCAAGAAGTAAGCATAGTTGTACACGTACATATGTATGTATGGTGAACTTCTTTTGCACCGTACATAGCTGACTGTGCCAATCGAAGGTGCAGGGGAAGGACAACAAATTAAACACAAGAAGCAGTTCTAAATAAATTAGTGTTCAAGCTAGATTTAAAAGTGCATAGCTCCAGTGGCGTCCTAATATTGGAAAGAAGAACGTTCCAGACGAACGCAGAAGCGCATTTGAAAGCGTGCGATGCAGTAACCGTCTTTGTTTGATGGTCACCCAAAAGCTGCTGCGAGGATGATTCGCATGATGGTTTATGCTCCTTAACGAGATCAGCGAGATGTTGTGTACAGCATGTGTTTGAGAATGGGGAGCAGTGGAGCAGTGGTTAGCGCGCTGCACTATGAACCCAGTGACCCGAGTTCAATTCCCGCTCACGGCCACCAACAGCAGTTACAAATATCAAAACCGTTCCTGGGTCTCCCCTAAGTCGATGCAGCCTCAAATGAGTACTTGGTGCGATATGTGAACATCGTCACTCGGGAGACAAAGGTGGCTGGGCTTGGTGTTGGCTACCTACCCCCCTCGTGTGCAATGTCGGCCTTGATAGGTGCTAATCATAAATAGCACTTGCCCCAACAGCCTGTTAAAGGCTATACGGGGGATATTTGTCTTTGTGTGTAACGTGCACGCAGGTGGGCGATGAGGTTTGCTGATGAGATGAAATTCGGTAGTCGTTGTTTGTGATGACTTAATTATAGAGCTCAGTTATGTAGCAGAAACAACAACAGCAGCAGCGCATAGAGTCACATTAAGACAAAGCTTCCCTCGATAGTTTTTACACGCAAAAAGGGGCAAAGGAGAGAAGCTGAGCCCCACCAACTTCACTTCACACAGCCCGTGACTTCAATCCACACGCATCTGAAAGTGCGTGATGCATCGACTGACTTTGGTCGATGGCCAGCCAAAACGTGTCGCTAAGCAATCGCCTCCCACTTTGTCGAGCCACTGATGGGTTAGAGGCCTTCTTATGGTGTGGGGGCAATGGAGGGTTGTGAGTTGGTGTGGGGGGTCCAACATCATCACCGCCACTATCTGTACCTATACTTTACCGCGGTGGTCGTGCACAGATATTAAAGGTGGTCGTGCATAGACGATGGCGAGTTCTCGAGGAGAGTACCGAACGTCCTCGCTTAACGCATGGAGTTCTTTTCGCACAAAGCAGAATGTGCACCCTTATAATGTGGAACGCGCGCCGTTATAACATGGAACACGCCCTATTATAACGCAGTTTCTGAGCAGACGACGACAAACTGTTTTCTTGAGTGGAGTGGCTGAGCAGTACCGTGATACTGTACATACAATGATACAGTAATGTGGCTGTGTACCCACATCTTATTTATTTGTCCCGCCATGGAATGACTGCAGGCTGATGTTGCAGTGCAAATGTGATTCAGTAAGAGTCATTCCTCGTTTAACACAGTTTTTGCTTAACGTGGCACTTTTCAGGAATGCATCTACTAGCACGTTAAACGAGGAATTATTGCACAATAATGCATTGGTTTACCTGCTCTTGAACTTAGGCCCACCCACAATGTAACATCGCAACAGCCGTTACGGAGACAACTTATTGTTTGACACGGCGGTCAACCATTTCCCAATACATCGAAGATCTACGTAGGCTCAACCCCTGTTTAGCTTCTGAAATCTGGTTAAAAACGTCAATAATGTGTGACTGTAAATGTTAGTAAATTATTGTAAACAGTAATGATATTCGGTTTGAAGGTGGGCATATAATTCAAAATGGCCGCTATATTAAGCCACGTATGTACTGGATGTATGTTGAACTTCTTTCACACTGTATGTAGCCAACCGTGCTAACCCGAGATATTCTTCTTCTTTCGTATGGATTCATAGCAGCAGATTTGCAGCGGAGCGATGTGGGTGAGCACTGGGAGACACTGGGTCAGCGTCGACAGTGGGTCAGCGTCGACTTTAGCATAGCCGAGATGGCATGCATTGTAATGTTTAGTTGTGTGTCGATAACTCGATTGCGAGTGCTGCGTCCCCATCAAATACATGAGGGCGAGTGTGGCAGTCCGTAGTGTTTGCGCATCACAGCCCCAACTAGTTCCCGCCAGTTTATGGATAAATATAATGTCCATGCAGGCTTTTTATCTTGTTGCTCAACTGCTCAATGTGTTGCCTGAAAGTGAGACTTCGATCGAGCACCATTCCAAGGTATTTCAGGAGTGGTTCGTGGGTGACAGTTTTACCACAAAACTCGATCTCCAGGGTACTTTTTGCCTCTGCATTTTTTAGATGAAATGCTGAGGACACTGTCTTGGTTGGGATTGGCTTAAGTCGCCAGGAGAAATAATAATCGTCCAATTTCTTTAGCTCGGTGATCAAGATGTCTTGAGCTGCGCTGAGTGTCGTCGCTTGGCTGGCCAGTGCTAAATCGTCTGCATAAATTAACTTGCAGCTTAATGTGGCTGACATGTATCCGGTGTAAAGATTAAACGAGGCTGGTGCTAATACCCACCCCTGCGGTAAGCCATTTTGTAGAGTTCGTGGGTGGCTTATCTGGTTTCCGAGATGGACGTGAAATTGTCGGTCACTGAGCATACTGATGATGAGATGAACAGTTTTTTTGCACTTGATGGTGTTGGTGAGTTTAAAGATAAGTCCTCGGGGCCAGACCAGGTTGTATGCATAGGGAATGTCTATGAAAGCGGCACCTGTTTTCTGTTCATGCTGAAAGCTGGCTTCGATGTGTGATGTCAAGGCGAGGACCTGGTCACAACAGCTTCCTTGTGACCGAAAACCTGCCTGCTCAGGTGGTATTGTGGCTTCGAAGAGAGGAGAGATTTGAGACAGCAGTACTCACTCCAGTGGCTTATAGGCTGTACAAAGAACAGAGATTGGCCTGTAGCTATGTGGGTCATCAGCAGGTTTTCCTGGCTTGAGGAGAGCAATGACTTTGCTTTTCTCCAAAGTCTTGGTAGCTTGCTGGTGGTGATGATTTTGAAAAATTTTCACCAGCCAGAATATTCCTTTGCTGCCAAGGAGTTTTAGGAATTCTGGGTAAACCCCATCTATCCCTGTGGCTTTACCTGCCTTTGTTACCACCAGTGCGGCATCAATTCTGGAAGTATAGCTACAGAAAGAGGAGAGTTTTTGACACTTGTGTGAGTATCTTGTGTAGATTGTTTTACTGTGCATTCTTGTTGTCGACTTGCATTGCCGAGAAGCTGCGCCGCTATTCCATTAGCAGTTGCCTTAGGAGGGTGCCGCTCCACTGAGCTTCCACAGAAACCCTATGCCCTGCAGCCGGAGTGGGTGACGTCAAAAGATTCCATCAATGCTGGCCACTTAGCTCATCTGGCAGAATCTAGCGACTGCAGAAGGAATGTGGCGATCTCTGGGTTGCCGGTGCTTTGATGTTCTCGAAGAAGGTTTTTACTTTCTGCAGCCCAGCTGGAGTGTAGGACCTCCGATAGCCCCATGGCATCGCATCCCTGGTGGCTTTCTTCACGAGCATGATGAACTGCTCAAACTTTTCAGGGTTCGTAGAGATGTGGTGGATGTTCTTTTCCACTGCAGCCAATTTTCCCCTCCGAAGTTCCAGCGGGGTCTCGGTGTGATGGTGATTACTGGGATTTTGTGGCCAACATGGATGACCACGGACTTGTGCTGGCTGTGCGGGAAGTGAGGCAAGACTTTGCGCATGGTGGTTAGAGGCTTGCCATTCTCATATGTGGTACAAAGCACAGGTCTTCCACCATGCAGAGTGGAATGTGCCTTGTTGCTTGGCGTCAAAAATGAGGAAGAGCTCTTTGTGCAGATGCTCAATCAAGGATTTGTTCACCTGCCAGGTCGTTAACTGGGTAGCCCCACATCGTGTGATGGCTGTGGAAGTCGCCTATGTAGATCACGGGATGTTCCACCGCTGGCAATGGTGGTAGGCGATAGGTTGTTATTGGCGGTTTGCAGACATTGTATACGACGAGACCGGCGATTATCGTCACCCAGTTGTGAAGTCGTCATCTGTCTAAATAACTTTTGTTGCGTCTATGAAGTGATGCACAACGTAACTTGCCAGACTGTGTTTAGCGCAGCCCTTGAAAGCTGCGAGGATGTACCCTGGAATGTTCAATCTTAGAGAGCTGCTTTCCTCCACATGTGTCTCTTGGATAGTAAGGATGTCAATGTGTTCTTGCTGAAGGATCTTTGCGAGGACATCTGCCTTTGCTCGGGATAGGCCCTTAACATTTAGCTGGCATAGACAAACTGAGGGGCCAATGGAATTGCCCACCTGTCCCTAAAGGGGACCTTTGTTTGCAGGCTTGTTCATTCCGCTGTAACCCAGAGGTCAACTGGTCGTGACATACGGTTTCCTTAACGATGTAATTAGTTATGAACTTCGTTGCAGACTTCGTTCACGTAACAGATGCGGAGGAAGAACAACAAACTAAACACAAAGAGCAGCA